CCGGGGCCGCGCGGGGGCTGCCGGGAGGGCGGCGGGGCCGGTGCCGGGGCCGGTGGCGGGGGGGCCGCGCCGGGACATCGCGGCCATGCAGAAATACGAGAAGCTGGAGAAGATCGGGGAAGGTGCGGCCGGGCCGGGGCCGTGCGGGGCGGCCCGAGGGCCGCGGGGCCCGGACCGGTATCGCTAGCGGGGGCCCTGCCGTGACCCCCTCCCCGCGCCCCACAGGCACCTACGGGACCGTGTTTAAGGCCAAGAACCGGGAGACGCACGAGATCGTGGCGCTGAAGCGGGTGCGGCTGGACGACGACGATGAGGTGAGGGGGGGGGGCCGGGCTGGGGCCCCCCCGGGACCCCCGGAACCCCCCGCCCCCCAACCCGGCGTGTCCCGCAGGGAGTGCCCAGCTCGGCGCTGCGGGAGATCTGCCTGCTCAAGGAGCTCAAGCACAAGAACATCGTCAGGTACCGGGGCGGCCGCGGGCAGGGGGCTGTGGGGTCACGGCACGGGGGCTGCTCCCTCGGGCTGAGCCGGGGTGGGGGGAGCTGTGGGGGCGAGGTGGGAGGGGGCTGCCCCCCCAGTGCCTTGGGGCAGGGGAGTGGGGGGCTCGGGGCTTGCCACGCGAGATGCCCCGGGCTGGGCCGGGCGCTGGGGGGCTCAGGGACCACCCCCCCTGCAGACTCCACGACGTCCTGCACAGCGACAAGAAGCTGACGCTGGTCTTTGAGTTCTGTGACCAAGTGAGTGAGCGCCAGGGGCGTGGGCGGATCGTGGGGGTCCCTAGGGGGTCCCTGGGGGTCCTCGGGGTCCCCGGGGGTCACCGCTCCTGGCCGCCCCCGACGCGGCCCCCCCTCGCTCCCCCCCAGGACCTGAAGAAATATTTTGACAGCTGCAATGGGGACCTGGACCCTGAGATCGTCAAGGTGGGTCTGGGGGTCCCCAGAGTCCCAGCCCGGCCCCACAGGGGTGCCACAGTGTGGGGGGGCTGACAGACCCCCCCGTGTCCCCCACAGTCGTTCATGTACCAGCTGCTGAAGGGCCTCGCCTTCTGCCACAGCCGCAACGTCCTGCACCGGGACCTGAAACCCCAGAACCTGCTCATCAACAGGGTGGGGCACGGGGGGGGCTCTGTCTGGGGGTCACACCTGGGAGCTGGGCTGGTCTGTCTGTCTGGGGGGGCCACACCTGGGGACTGTCTCTCTGTCCATCTCTCTGGGGGGTCACACCTGGAGCCTGTCTGACCGTGGCTGCAGCTCCATGTCTCCTATGTTCCTGGTGATGGGGCTGGAGCAGCAGCCACCACCTGCCCTGGGTTGTGGGGGGCACCAGAACAATGCCCCTTTGGGGTATGGGCGGCACAGGTGGGGCTCCCCACACTGACCCCCCTGCCCCCCCAGAACGGGGAGCTCAAGCTGGCGGATTTCGGGCTGGCCCGGGCCTTTGGCATCCCCGTGCGCTGCTACTCAGCCGAGGTGAGGGGGCTCAGGGGGCTCAGGCTGCCCCGTGCTCTGAGTGTCCCTGTCCCTGTCTGAGTGTCCCTGTCCCTGTCTGAGTGTCCCTGTCCCTGTCTGAGGGTCCTGTCCCTGTCTGAGGGTCCTGTCCCTCCCAGGTGGTCACTCTGTGGTACCGGCCCCCAGACGTCCTCTTCGGTGCCAAGCTCTACTCCACCTCCATCGACATGTGGTCAGCTGGGTGCATCTTTGCAGGTTTGCTGGGGGGTCCTGGGGGGCCTGGGGGGCTGCAGGAGCCCTGGGACCCACCCTCTGTCTCCCCAGAACTGGCCAATGCGGGGCGGCCCCTCTTCCCGGGGAACGACGTGGACGACCAGCTGAAGAGGATCTTCCGATATCCTTGGGAACGGGGGGAACGGGGAGCTCCGGGAATGGGGACCCCTGGAATGGACCTCCTCTGGGAATCCCCCTTGGAAATGGGGGCCCCAGTTGGTAATGGGGAACCTCTTGGGAACGGGGAGCCTTGTGAATGGAGAGCCCTGTGGGAATGGGGACCCCTGTAGGAATGGAGACCCCTGGGCATGGGGACCCATCTCGGCTGGGCAGGGGGTCGGGGGGGGTCGGGTGCCGGGTGCCCCCGTGGTGGCCCTTGACCATCCCCACGCTGCTGGGGACCCCCACGGAGGAGCAGTGGCCGGCCATGGCCAAGCTGCCGGACTACAAGGTGAGGAGGGGGCCGGGGGGGCTGGAGGGGGTGCCGGGGGGGCCGTGGGTCACCTGTGTGTCCCCAGCCCTACCCCATGTACCCGGCCACCACCTCCCTGGTCAACGTGGTGCCCAAGCTGAACGCGACCGGCCGGGACCTGCTGCAGGTGAGACCCCACCCCTGCCCCCCTCCAACCTCTGTCCCCCCTGCCTGTCCCCCTGCCCATGCCACAGGGGTTCTGGCTCCCCAGGGGTGGCTACCCTCTCCCCTCACAGCCCCCCACCCACCTGAGGGGGGCAGTGGGATGGGGGGGCTGTGGATGGGGGGGTGTCTGTGCTCTCCTCCCTCAGCCCCCCATGTCCCCCAGAACCTGCTCAAGTGCAACCCGGTGCAGCGGATCTCGGCAGAGGAGGCCCTGCAGCACCCCTACTTCACTGACTTCTGCCCGCCCTAGGGCCTCCCAACCCTCCCTGGCTCCCTCCCCCTTCAAGGGAGGGCAGCCCCCAGCCCCCCCAGCCAGCCCATGCCAGCCCCCCCAAACTGCAGCGTCCCCCCAGTATTTATTAGGTTCTGCCCCAGCTGCAGGGGGCTGGCATGGTGCCCCTGAACCCCTTAGCCCTGGAGGGGACTGAGGGCACTCAGACCCCCCCCGGTGGCACAGGACCCCCCTGGGGGCAGGGGACCCCTCCAGGGCATGAGACCCCCCAGAGGACATGGGGCCATGATGCTGGTGGAGGGACAGGACCCTCTGGGACCAGGCATGGGGACCCTGCAGGTGGTGAGACCCCCACCCCTCTTGTCCCTGCTTCCCCCCCGGCCCCTTCCCTGCCTGGGGGGGGTTCTGGATACAGCCCCCCTGGGGGGGGCGGGGGAGGACCCCATTTCTTTTCTAGGGCACTGCTGTATGTGGATGATGTGCGTTTGGAACCCCATAAAGAGCTTTCCCCCCCTCCCAGTGCCGCCTTCTCCTTCCTGGGGTGTCAGGGCCCCCCCTCTGCCACATGACAGACACCTCTCTCAACAGCCTCTGCCCCCCAACCCACCCCTGGGACCCCCCCAGTGCTGCCCCCTCTTTCCTGGAGCAGCCGTGTCCCCCCACCCCCCCAGCAGCCTGGAGCCGGGGCCTGGGGCACCTCTTTATTTGGGGGGGCTGCAGGGGGGGGGTTGCATGTCCAGCGCAGGGGGGGCACAGGCAGCGCATGCAGGGTCACGGGAGCGGGGCTGGGGGGGCCCCTTGCCCCCAGCCCCCCGACACCCCCTCAGGGGGTGGGGGGGACCAGGAGGCTGCCCCGTGGCCCGGGGGTGCCCCCCCAGCCCCCCGGCCGGCGGGGGGGCGGGCTGGGCTCCACGGCGGGTCCCGGGGGGGGCCTAGAGCCGGGTGACGAGGTAGCAGGTTCGGGGCGACGCCGAGACGGGGCGCGGGGCCACGCAGGGGGGTCCGGGCACTCTGCGGGGGGGTCGGGGGTTAGAGGGGCTAGGGGGTTAAGGGGGATTGGTTTCCACCCGCCACCCCCCTCCCCCTGTGTCCTGCCAAGCTGGGGGGCTCAGCGCCTCGCCCCCATCCCTTGTGCCCCCCGGGATGCCCCGGGAGCCTCCCAGCTTTGGGGCTCCCCCACGCAGCCGATGTGGAGCCAGGCTGCCCACCCCCGTCCCCAAGCAGTCTCCTCCCTTCTGCCCCTCCGTGTCCCGGAGGGGAGGTTGGAGGGTCCCAGCCTGGCTTGGGGGGCTCCGGGGGGGACGGGGGACCCCGGGACAGGGTGCTGGAGACCATGATGAGGACGGGGGATGAGGCGTCTGCAGGGAATGGGAGTGTCTGCAGGGAATCAGGGATCTGCAGGGAACGCAGGGGTCCACGCAGGATGGGGGGATCTGCAGGGGATGAGGGGTCTGTAGGGGGATGGAGGGAGTCTGTGGGGAATGGGGGGATCTGCAGGGAATGGGGGGGGTCCGCAGAGAATGGGAGTTCTGCAGGGAATGGCCCCCCGGCCCCGGGGGGCTTCGGGTGCCCCCCCCGCGTGTACCTGGGTGGGCGCGGGGCCGCGGGGCTGCCCGGGACCGCCGGGTGCTCCTGGATGGGCGCACGGAGGGACGAGAGAGCGGTGAGCCGGGGAAGGGGGATGAGGTGCGACCCCCCGGGCGGGGGCGGGGGGCGGGGGGCGCGGGGGGTTACCAGGGTGCCGCTGTCGCTCCGGGGGCTCCGCTTCTTCTCCTTGTACAGGCTGAGGAGTTTGTCCCGGAACACCTGGGAGGGCGCAGGTCAGAGCCCCCGGCCCCGAGACCCCTGAGCGGAGGGGGTGTTGAGGGTGTCGGGGGGCCTCACCTCGTACAGGTAATCGAAGATCTCCAGGATGGTGAGGAGGCTGGCGCCGATGAAGAGCCCCATCTGCCCCCCGATGTCACCTGGGCGGGAGGCGGTGTCAGAGAGGACACGCCCCTCGGAGCCCCTCCGGACCCCCGGCCCTCACCCGCCCCCGCCGGCCCTCACCCAGCAGCCCTGCCACCTCGTACGCCTTCTTCTGCTCGATCATCTCGTAGTTCAGAGCCTCGAAGAAGATGTCCAGGACCAGCACGTTGTCCCTGGGGGACACGGGACGAGGGGACAGTGTCAGGCACAGGAGGCCGGGGGGCTGTGCCAGGCTGTGCTGGGGGGGGCTGGACTGTGCCGTGGGGTTCAGGGGAATGGGCAGAGGGGTCTGCCTGGTGCTGGGAGACACAAAGATGTGCTGGGCTGTATTCTGGGGCCCCGTGCCATGCTGCGCCATACTGGGCCGTGCCATGTAGTGTCATGCCATGCGGTGCCATCTGTGCCATGCCACGTTGTGCTGTGCCATGCAGTGCCACACGTTTTTCCCTTTGCTGGGGCATATTTGCACAGGGTAGGCTGTGCTGTGCTGGGCAGTTCAGGTGTGCTGGGGACGTATGGCCATGCCTTGTCACACCCTCACACTGTGCTGTGCTGGCCAGTTCAGGGATTCTGGCGATGCCATGCGGCTGTGCCATGCTGTGTCCCACCATCACACTGTACCGTGCCAGCTTACGCGTGCTGGGGACACTGTGTGGCTGTGCCATGTCACAGCAGTGCACGTGTGCTGGGGGACACTGTGTGGCCGTACTGTGCCGTATCACACCGTCACATCGTGCTGGGCCACTTCACATGTGCTGGAGATGCCATGTGGCTGTGCCATGTCACACCGTCACACTGCGTTGTGCCATGTCACACCGTCACACTGTGCTGTGCCATGTCACACCGTCACACTGCGCTGTGCCATGTCACACCATCACACTGCGCTGTGCCATGTCACACCGTCACACTGCGCTGTGCCATGTCACACCGTCACGCTGTGCTGTGCCAGTTCCCGTGTGCTGGGGACACCCTGTGGCCATGCCGTGTCACATCCCTCTGGGCTGTGTCAGTATCCCACCGTGCTGGTTCATGCTGTGTGCCATGTCACACTGTCACGCTGTGCCATGTCACAGCAGTTCACATGCTGGGGATGCCGCGTGGCTGTGCTGTGCCATGTCACACTGTCACGCTGTGCCACACGGTGCGCTGGCGGGGCAGAGGGTGACACGGTAGCGGCGGCAGGGGTGGCAGTGTCACTCACGCGATGTACTGCTCTGTCTTGTTGAATTTCTTGGCCAGGTACTTGGCCGAGGCCTTGCTGGGGATCTTCACCATGGAGAGCTCTTTGCCGTAGCGCACCATGGCGCAGGGCGTGCGGCACGCGCAGTACTCGCTGTCCTTCGTCACCAGGAAGTCTGGGGGGGCACGGGTGGGACAGGGAGCCCCAGGATCCCTGGCCGGGGGGGGGACACTCGGGGACAGAATCGGTGGCACATGGGGAGAACCCAGCCCTGCGTGTCCGGGGCCAGTGGTGACCCCCACCCCGATGAGGGCACAGGCACGCTGGAGCCACGGTTGCAGCGATGGGGGCACAGAGGGCACAGGGACACCAGAGCCACGCTCGCGGCAATAGGGGCACAGCGGGGGGGAGGGGTCCCAGGGGTGCCCGGGGCCATCGAGGGGCCGGGGGTACATACCCAGCGCGGGGTCAGCACACTCCTTGTACTGCTCCGGGGTGCAGACGTTGGCGTTGCCTGCGGGGGAGGCGGCGGTCGCAGGGGCGGGGGGGGGTCCCGGCAGCCCCCGCAGCCCCCCGGCCGCCCCCCCGCTCACCCGGCATGTGCACCATGCGGCAGTTGCAGTTCTCGGCCAGGTAGCGCGTCTCGCAGTCCAGGCGGCACGCGGTCAGGCTGTAGTTGGTGAAGAAGTCGGACTCGATGGGGGTGGCCTTGCAGTCCCCCCACGGGGGGGGCAGGTACACGAGCTGCCGGGCGCCCGCTAAGGAAAACACGGCGTCCCGGGGTTCCCAGTGTCACCCCTGCTGTCGTCCCTGCTGTAGTCCCTGGTGTCGTCCCTGGCCACGCTGCCACCTCCCCCACCACAGGAAGAGCTTATCCCGCACAGCCAGTGCTGGGAGATCTTACCACCCCAGAGCCCCCCTCCTACCCCGTGCCCTCCTTTCTGGCCTCGGGGACGGGTGTTGCAGGCAGTGTCACCTCTAGCAGGTGCCACAGCAAGGGGGGCACATGGCAGTTGGGAGCACACAGGAGCCAGACGTGCCAGGCAGGGGGTCGGCACAGACGCCTATGCTCCCCTCGGTGCTCACTGTGCAGCCAGTGAGTGCTGGGGGGTCCCGGTCCTGCACCCCCAGCGCCCCCATCCCACCCTGTCCCTCCCTGCCAGGTGCAGGACAGGTGTCGTAGGCAATGTCACCTGCACCAGGTGCCACAGCGAAAGGGCAGGAGCCGGCGAGGGCTGGCACGTGGCACCTGGGAGCACACAGGGGCCGGGCGTGCAGGGATCGTGCCTGGTGAGGGGCCCAGCACCCCCACCCGTGGGTGCCAGGGCCACGCTCCTGCTGCCGCCGTGCTCCTGCCGCCCGCACCACGCGCGCCGGCACACGTGGTGACACCCACCCCAGGCACCTAAATTTAGGTGTCTGGCTGCGGGGGCCGGGCGCTGCCACCCCCCCGGCGGCTGTTCCGCAGGAGCCAGGGGGTCGCTGCCGGAGCCGGAGCCTGTGGAGAGGCCGCGTGGTCCCGGTGTGGGGCTGCCCCACACCGTGTGCTGCTCCTGGCCAGTGTGGTGGCACAGTACTCATGGCACAGCTTGGCACGGGATGTCCCTGTGGGGATGCCTGTGGTACCCACAGCACCGCTCGGCATGGGATGTCCCTACGGGGATGGCTGTGGTACCCATGGCAGGGTTCGGGATGTCCCTATGCCTCGGGGTGTCCCAGCTGTCCCAGGCTATCCCAAGCCCTCTGGGGGTCCATCCTGATCCCTCGGGGGTCCGTGCCCAGCCCCGGGCACCATGCCCGGATACCCGCTGCTGCTGGCAGGAGACGAAGGTCTGGAAGCCGGGGGCGACGCCAAAGCCCAGCTGGTCGATGAAGGGCGGCTCCTCCTGGCTGTGGATCTGCACCTTCACCCCCACCTCGAACGACGTCTCGTCTGCAGGGCAGGGGGACGGGGTCAGGTGCCGCACAGGGGGGCTCACCTGTGTCCCCAGACAGGCAGGGGTCTCACCTGTGTCCCCCCAGACAGGCAGATATTCCTCCTGCTGCACGTTGAGCATGAGCTCGAGGCCGTTGCCGGAGCCCCCCTGCAGCGTGGTCAGGACCTCGCGCCCCGGCCCCCCCGGGTTGAACGTGTAGCACTTCCCCAGGCGAGTGAAGATCTGCGGGGACACAGGGGACATGGGGACGGGGCCCTGGGTGACACTGTGGGACCCTGTGAGGACAGGGCAAGATCCCAGTGCCCCACGGGACCCAGTGCAGGATCCCAGTGCCCCTCAGGACCCAGTGCAGGATCCCAGTGCCTCGGGGCGGGATCCCAGAGCCCGCCATGGCCCAGAACAAGGCCAGAACGGTGACAGTGCCCCCCCTGTGCCTGGGCTGCCAGGGCTCTGCAGGGATATTGGGTTTCAGTGAGGCTCCAGGGGACACGTGGGGACACTTGAGCAGGGAGGGCACAAGCCAGGATGGTGATGGAGACTGGGACTCAGTCACAGTGGCAGAGGCCACCGTGTCCCCTAAGAACCTGAGAGCCTGTCCTGGGCCAGCCACCCCAGCAACCCTGGGGACCTGCACCCCCAGCCAGGGACCTGAGGGTGACCTTGAGCCTTCAGGGACTGGCATCCACAGACAGGGCTCCTGGAGTGATCCAGAGGCCCCAGGACTGGCCCCATGGACCCCAGTCCTGCCATACAGCCCTCTGGGGTCACACACACCCCACTATGGGTGCCCCCCCCGAGTGTCCCATGGGGGGAGGGGGCGTTGCTGTGGCAACGAGCTGCTCCCAAAGTGGGGACCTGTCACCATGGTAACACGGTGCCCAAGGAGGAAAAGGGGGGGGGCGGGTGTCATGGCAACGACTGCCCGGCATGGGGATGCCTGGGGAGGGTATGGATGGGGACAGGGACTGGGACATGGCCCTGGTACTTCCAGCCCTCCTGCTTCCCACACTCAGGTCACCCAGGGACCCCCAGCCCTGCACCCTGGGGACCTGCTGTTCCCACTCTCTGCTGTTCCATCCCTGGACCCATGTCCCTGCACTGCCATCCTGCCCCATCTCACCAGCCCTGGTGGAGGCAAGAAGGGGGTACAGCCCACCCTGATGGCCCTTGGGCCTTTGCCACGTGCTCAGGGACCTCGGGGACCCTGAGGATGGGGTGGGACGAGGCGCAGGGACACAGTGCCAGAGCTCAGTGCCACAGCCCAGGGCAGAGGATCCCAATCCAGGACTAGGCCCTCCAGCCATATGATCTGCCCCTCGAGCCTGGGAGCCAATGCCAGCACCTAGTCCTGCTGCAGGGACACCAGCAGAGTGGCTCTGGCCAAGGGTGTGGGGGCACAGGGGCCATGGGGAGGGCACGGAGCTGCTGAAGGGCAGCTTGTCCCTGAGCTCCAGAGAATTAATTGGTGCTCTAAGAGCATTAAGGTGACAGTAATCGCTGGAAACAGAGATGGGCACTAGGCACAGCGGGTACAGGCTGCCCAGCATCCGCAGCACACTGCTGCAGCATGAGGGATGTGCCTGTCCTGCCTGTGCCACCATCCCTGCCTGTCATGCATGTGCCATGATCCCAGCTAGTACCACTGTCCCTGCCCTGCTCTGGGGGCAGTGGTGGGGCCAGTGCTTGTACAGGGACCCCCACCTGTGCCAGGTGTGGAGGAGCTGCCCCTGGGAGCTGTGTGCCAACAGCCAGGGCAGCAGCTGCTGCTGGCAGTGCCCAGGTGGTACCTGGAGCTGGAACGGGGGAGTGGAGCTGGGGGCTGTACCTGTGAGCACCCTGTACAGGTCAGCACCCCACAGCTGTGAACACCCCATACCCGTGAGCATCCCGTGCCCACCGCCACCCCATCCCGGTGCCTGTATGCCAGCAGAGCCCCCACCCTGCACAGAGCCCCCAGCACAGCCCCGCTCCAGCCTGGGCAGCATTCCCAGCCGCCTGGCACCCCTGCAGCACGTGGGGCAGGGACACCCCTGGCTGGCAGCCGCTGTGTCCAGAGGGGTGGGCAGGGGCTGATGGTGTTGTGGGTGGTGGGATGCACTGGCCGGCCAGAGAAGGGGCTCACCCACAGGTGCCTGACCTTGGCAGGACACCCAGGTCCCTCTGCAGTGCCCAAGAAGGTGGGCAGGGGCTGATGGTGCCATGGGTGGTGAGATGCAGAAGTGGGATGGAAGAAGGGGCTCAGCTGCCAGTGCCCAATCCCGGCAGGACACCCATGTCCTTCCACAGCCCCGGGGGCACACGGCGGGTCCCCTCCCCATCCTCGCTGTGCCCACGTGCATCGAGATGGGAGGAGGAGCTCATCTAGGGGTGGCCAACCCTGGCAGGACACCCGCGTCCCTCCACAGCCCCGGGGGCACAGGGGGGTCCCTGCCCCGCCCTCCGGGCACTCACCACGGTGAAGTTGCGGGCGGTGCAGCCGGTGCCGCGGAAGGTGCACTGCAGCAGCATCTCGGCCAGGTCGTGGCCCGTGCGGTTGTAGAACTCGGCCATGCTGAAGGGTTTCGCCTTGAAGTTCTTGAAGTTGGCCTTGTCCCTCAGGGCAGCCAGGACGTGGGGCTCGGCCAGCTGCGGGTTGCTGATCTCGTAGCGCTCGTTGAGCAGCGCCAGCAGCTCGCCCACGTGGTACATGTCGTTGCGGGTGATTTTGGAGAAGCGGAACTCGTTGAGGTTGCAGATGGTGATGGCCGGGAAGGTGAGGTTGCGGGCGGCCACCTCGTCCAGCTTGGTGACGTGGGGGTAGGTGAGGAAGTAGGCGACGCGCTCGGCGCACACGAGCAGCAGCAGCCCCAGCGAGCCCAGGAAGAAGCCGCCCCAGAGCACGCGGCGCAGGGACACGGCCCCGTAGGCGAAGACGTGGCTGATGCCGTGCAGCGAGGAGCTGTGGGCGAAGGCCCGCAGGCTCGAGAGCCCCTCGCCCTCCCCGCTGCCCTCCGAGCCCCCCCTCATCCTGCCGCCGCCGGGCCCCCGCCGTGCCCGGCACTCTCAGCCCATCGCCGCGCCGGGCTCAGGGCGCTGCCGGCGGGGAGGGCACGGAGGAGGAGGGTGGGCAGGGCAGAGGAAGGCAGGGGATGGCAGGGCAGGACCGGCCGCTCCGCTCCCCCGCGCTGCCGGTGCCAGCGCTGCCCGACCGGTGCCGCGGGGCCGCGGTCCCGGTCCCGGTCCCAGCCCCAACCCCAGCCCAGGTCCCGGTTCCAGCTCCGGTCTCGGATCCGGTCCTGGTTCCAGTGCCAGTCCCGATCCTGATCCCGGTCCCGGATCCGGTCCCAGCCCCGGCTCTGCTCCCGCCCCGGCGCAGCCCCGATCTCAGCCCCAGCCCCGGTCCCGGTTCCAGCCCCAGCCCGGCCCCGGTCCCGGTCCCTGTCCCTGTTCCAGCCCCGGTCCCGGCTCCGCTCCCGCCGCGGCGCAGCCGCCGCCGGTCCCCGCCGCCCCCCGCCGCCGCCGCCCCCGCCCCTCCCGCTCGGCTCCACCCGCCGCCCCCGCGGCGGCCGCGGCGTTGGGGTACGGGGGGCTGGGACCCGCGGGGAAGGGAGGGGTCAGCAGCGCCCCTTCACCGGGCGGCCCAAGGGAACACACCCCGGGGGTCACACAGCGGTCCCCCCATCCCGGGGTCACGCAGAGGTTCCCCCACGCCGGCGGGTGATGCAGTCTCCCTTCACCGCAGAAAGATGTCACAGAGTCCCCCCACTCCGGGGGTGACATAAGGGTCCCCCATCCTAAGGCTGACACAGGAGACCCCCCCACCTCGGGAGGGGTCATGCAGGGCTGATCCTGCCCAAGAGGGTCACAGAGGGTCCTCCAGCCTGGGAGGTGACACAGAGGTCCCCTACACTGAGGGGCGACACAGCAGACCCTCCAGCCCCTGTGGTCCCACAGCCGTAACCCCCAAACCTGGGGTCAGCCGGGGTTCCTGCACCCCAGGGAGTGACCCAGGGTTCCTCCACTCCCAGGATGATACAGGGTCCTCCACCCTGGACGGGGACACAGGTGACCGCCCCGCCCCAGCGGGGGTCACACAGGGGTCTCCCCATCCTAGAGGTCACCCAGGGGTCTCCCACTCCAGGAGCGGCACATGGGACTCTCTGTGCCAGGGGGTCACACAGAGGCCACTCATCTCAGGGGTGACACAGGAGCTCCCTCAGCCCGGGGGCGATGCAGCCTTCCCTCACTCCGAAGGTGACACAGGGGTCTCCCACTCCACGGGCGACACATGGGACCCCCCAACCCTGGGGGGTCACGCAGCGGTCCCCCATCCCAGGGGTGATGCAGGGGGTCCCCACCCCAAGAAGGCCACACAGAGGTCCCCCTTGTCGGGGGGTTCATCCCAACGAGGGGGTGACAGAGGGGACCCCCCACCCCCGTGGGCAGCGCGGCCGGGCTAGGGGGCGGGGCCAGGGCGGCCAGTCCCGCCCACTAAAAGAACGTCACTCGACCGGGCCCCGCCCCCCGAGACCCCGCCCTGTGCCAAGGGCGCCCCAGAGCGGCCCGGAGGATCCTACACCGCGTCCCACCAGAGCGGAGGAGAGCTCCCCGTCCGCCTTCCATCCCTGTTTATTGGGGAACAGCGGGGGGACCCCCTCAGCACACCCCCCTTGTTCACTGGGACACAGCTTAGGGACCCCCTCAGCACACCCCCTTGTTCTCTGGGGAACGGCGGGGGGACCCTCTCAAGACCCCTCCTTTGTTCACTGGGGAGCAGCCCTTGCTCATGACCCCTCCTTGGTCTGCTGTCGGATGAGCTCGGCGTAGAGCCCCCCCCGTCGCACCAGCTCCTCGTGGGTGCCCGCCTGTGGGGACAGCAGGGACGGTGTCACCCCCGGGTGCCCGCGCACCGCCCCCTCGCCCGCCCCGGCGCCGGTCTCACCTCGGCCACGCGGCCGCGGGCCAGCACGGCGATGAGGTTGGCGGCGCGGATGGTGCTGAGGCGGTGGGCGATGAGCAGCACGGTGCGGCCCGTGGCCGCCCGGTCCAGCGCCTCCTGCACCGCCCGCTCCGCCTGCGCGTCCAGCGCGCTCGTGGCCTCGTCCAGGATGAGCACGGCCGGGTCCTTGAGCAGCGCCCGGGCGATGGCGATGCGCTGCTTCTGCCCCCCCGACAGCGCCGCGCCGCGCTCGCCTACGGGACACCGGGGGACACCGCGGGATGGGGGACAGCACAGGACACCACGGGATGGGGGACACCGGGGGACACCGCGGGATGGGGGACACTGGGGGACACCACGGGATGGGGGACAGCACAGGGACACCACGGGATGGGGGACACCGGGGGACACCGCGGGATGGGGGACACCGGGGGACACCGCGGGATGGGGGGACACCATGGGATCGCGGAGACAACCATGGGGATGGGGGAACAACTGCTGCACCCTCCTGGGAGGAGCCCCAACCCAGAGCCAGGGACCCTCCCCACCCAAACCCCATCCCTCCTGTGCAGATGGCGTTGCCGCGGGACCGGGGTCACCCCTGCCAGGGTCCCACCCCCGCCCGTCCCCCTCCCGCCCCGGCCGTACCCACAACGGTGTCGTAGCCCTGGGGGAAGCTGCGGATGAAGCCGTCGGCGTTGGCCTGCCGGGCAGCCTCGTACACCTCGGCGTCAGAGGCCTCCGGCTTCCCGAAGCGGATGTTCTCCATGATGGTTGTTGCAAACAGCACCGGCTCCTGCGGCAGCGCCCGGGGCCTCAGTGCTGAGCCCTGGGGACAGCCAGCCCCTCACCTGTCCCTCCTGTCCCCACCTGTCCCCACCTGGCTGATGAAGCCAATGACCTGCCCCCGCAGCCAGGAGGGGTCCAGGCCGGCAATGTCGTGCCCGTCCAGGGTGATGGTTCCTGCCGTGGGCTCGTAGAACCGCTCCAGCAGTGCTGCCACTGTCGACTTCCCTATGGAGGGGACCCCTCAGCCCCTCGGCTCTGGCAGCACTGGAGGGGTCCCAGTCCCTGGCACCCACTGGGTGCACCGAGCAGAGGACTGGGGTGCAGGAGGACGTGCCCAGGGAGAGGTAAGGGGCTGGGACACCGAGGTCCCACGGGGCTACGACGTGGGGGTTCAGAGGGTCCTAGGTGGGCTGGTACCTCCTCCGGAGGGTCCTACGATGGCCACAGTCTGACAGGGGGGCAGAGTGAGGCTGAAGTCCTGCAGGACCGGGTAGCCAGGCCGGGTGGGATAACTGTAGGCAGAGGAGAGGGAAGCTGTGGGGGCTGCGGGGACACGGTGCCAGCCCCACAGCCTGCAGGGCAGCACGGGGGGCTGCAGGGGGCCAGGGGGGCTCACCTGAAGGAAACACGGTGGAAGCAGATGCGGCCACGCAGGGAGTGGGCAGGGATGGAGCCCCCCCCCTGCAGAGGCACGAGGGGCTCCAGTGTCAGCAGCTCAAAGACGCGGGCGCCGGCGCTCAGACCCCGCACCACCTGCGGGGGGGGCAGTGGGAGCACCCTCAGACCCCCAGAACCAGACCCCCAGCCCTGGGGCTGCCAGGAGCCCCTGCCCCACCTACCTGCCCCATCAGGATGGAGATGTTGGCCAAGGACCTGGAGTGCACAAGGGGAGAGGCTGCGCTCAGGGCTGTGCCAGGGCAGGCTGTGGGGAATGGGGGGTGCTGGGGGTACTCGGGGTAACGCCAGGCCCTGCCCTGACCTTTGCACCGTCTGCGAGGCCACCAGGAAGGACATGAGGTCACCTGGTGAGAGCTCATCCCCAGCCATCAGGGAGCCGCCGACAAAGATGGTTCCCAGTACGATGCCTGTGGGGTGGGGGGCAGAGGTGGTGTTTGGAAGGGGTCCTGCCCCACAGCCCCCCAGGTCCCATCCCACGGCCCCCGCTCACCATTGAGTGCCAGGTTGGAGAGCCCCTGGAAGGCGGCGATGCCGAGCCCCAGCCGCTCGCTCAGCTGGCCGGAGCGGTCCACCTCGGCACAGAACAGCCTGGGGCAGGGACAGGCTGGGGTCCCCACTGCCCCTGTTGCCCCTTGCCACTCCCAAGCCCTCCACCCTTACCTCGCTTGCTGCTCCTCCATGGCGAAGGCGCGTACGGTCCGCACGTTCCCCAGCGCCTCGTCCGCCACCACGGTGGCCTTGGCCACCTGCAGGGAGAGGGGGAACAGTGGGGACACCCCCAGCTGCGGCCCCTGGGGGTGGCAGGGCTGGGCTGGGGGGGCAGGAGATGGTTACCTGCTCCTGTGCCTGGCGGGAGAGGCTGCGGAGGAAGGCGCCGATGAATGCCCCGGCGCCCACCAGCGCCGGCAGCGCCACGACCAAGAGCCCCGTGAGCTTGGGCGAGAGCAGGTACAGCGACACGAAGCAGCCGGCGGTCTGGGTACCACTGCGCAGGCCCTGGGGCGGGGGGGGCGGTGGGTGGGGGGGCTGGGGGCTAGGGGGCCACCGAGCTCACCCAGGACAGGCCTGGCCTCACCTGGGAGATGGCCAGCTTGAAGGAGGACTTGAACTCCTGGATGTCGGCCGTCAGCCGCGTCACCAACTGCCCCGTGCGCGTGGCGTCAAAGAAGGCCACGTCCTGCCTGCCAGGGAAACGGTGGGTGGGGGTCCCTGCTCCCCCCGCTCCCCCCTCGCCCCCGTCCCCCTGGTTACCTGAGCAGGGTGCTGAAGAGCGCCTTGCGCATGTCGCCGGCCACCCGCTCACCGACACGCGCCAGCAGCGCGATGTACCCGAAGGTCAGTAGCCCCTGTGGGAGGGGGGTCAGGAGGGGCGGGGGCACCCCCGGGGCCCCCCAGCACCCGCCCTTTAGGGAGGTCAGCGCTCACCTGCAGGCAGTAGACGGCGAGGAGGCGCAGGGCCGGGCGCCGTACCTCCCGCAGGTACGTGGGGACGTGTCCGCGGGCACACTGGGCCACCACGTTCACCAGCTGCCCCAGCAGCACCGGGATGCGCACGTTGAGCAGGGCCGCGCCCAGCGCCAGCTGTGGGGACACGGGCAGGGACAGTGGGTGTCAGGCCACGGCACCGGGACAGTGGCCATCACACCGTGGCATGGGGACAGCAGGCGCAATGCCACTGCCCAGTGCTGTGGCAGGGGGACAGTGACTGTCATGCTGTGACACCGGGATGGCAGGTGTCACACCATGGCAACGGGACAGTGGCCATCATGCCCCAGCACCGGGACAGTGGCCGTTGTGCTGTGGCACCAGGACAGCATGTCCCACCCCCAAGCACAGGTGTGACACAGGGACAGTGGGGATGAGGGGACCGTGGCCACACACCCGCCCCTGCTCACCATGACGGCGGCGGAGAGCGCCAGGAGCTGCGGGCGCAGGAAGGTCCAGAACAGCTGCCAGTCGAAGGGGGGCTCTGGGGGGGCCTCCGTGGGCTCGGGGACACCAGGGGGGACCGTGGGGCCAGC